TGGGGGAGGGGGGAGAGGGGCTGGGTGCCCCTTTAGCTCTTGGTTAAAGACAGGACCCTCCTCAGGGCTTTTAGGGGGTGCAAAGAGGGAGATCCCCTCTGCAAAGTCATTGGGGAGGGTCTGCCCCATCCACCAGCCCAGAACTGGTCCCTTGTGGGGTGAGGATGCCAGTGGCAGGGCTTGTCTGTGCCACTTCTGTTCCACTTCTGTGCCTGGGGTGCCTGCTGTCCCACTCCTCCAGGGCTGCTATTTACCCATTATGCAAGTTTGTGGAGCAAGATGTGGTGGGGAGGGAGGCACAGGACCCCCTTGGAAGAGCCTTGCCAGTGGGGTGAGCACTGAGCCGTGGTGTTTCACCCCTGTGCCTGCTGAGGATGCCCATTATGTTTTGGGGGGACAGAGCCCTGCACACACCGTGCAGCCCTGGTGGGTTTCTCCAGCTGGGATCCAACCTTCTGCATTTTAAATACTGTGCAAGCTGCCTGCTTGGAGAGTACTGAAACCCACGGGGCATGCCTGGCATTTTTAAAAGGTTTTTTTAATTTTTTTCCTGCCATCTAAACTATCCTGGCTATTGACCAGCACTGTGAAATCTTCATTCCCTGCTGCCTCCTGCCATCCGCATGCCAGGGGGGGTTAGTGGAGGGGCTGCAGTTGGAGCTGGTGAGGGGACACACTGGTGTGGCACAGAGCTGGGATGGTGGAAGGTGTGTGGGTGCCCCAGCAGGGGTGTGGGGGCTGCCTGGCTTGGTGGAGGTCGCAGCTTTCCCAGCCTCCTGCAAGCAGAACATCTGGTCCTCATCCCTCCGCCAGGGCTGGGTTTCCTGCTGGGCATGAGAAGAGATGCTGGAGGAGTCTGCTAATCCTGCTCCTGGCTCCTGCCAGCCCTGGGGTGGGGATCTTGCCCATCTAGAGCAGGCTGTCAAACCACCCCACATTCCTTTGTGTTTGACCTGGAGCATAGACAACCCAAATGCAACCTTCACAGCTGAACAAGCCACCACAAGTTCCTGTGGTGGCCAGTCCTCCCTCCACTGCAGGTGATTTCCAACTGGGATTTTCTTCTCAGCATCCAGCACTGGAAGCTGGTAGCCACCTCAGGGATGGCTAAGTAAGTTTGTGGCCACCAGTCTGGACTTGGCACTTGGATATGTGCGGGCTTGCACAACCCAAGCTCCCTGAGCGTTGGGACTTGTTTCCCAGTCTCTGCCTTTCTCCTGGCTTTTCCAGGCTCCTCTGCAGACCATGTTGCATCTTGCACTTGGGTTTCCAGTGGATTCCTGTCTAGTCTCTGTGATTGCCTTGCTGTGTCTGCCTCCTGTTGTGCTACACCAAGCTCATCTTCAGTCCTACTCCCCTTTAATGGGCTGGGCCCCATTCTTGTCCCAGCTGCAAGACCTTTCTATTGGTACCTTCATGATTTCACTTGGGTTAGGAAGGAAAAGCCCAACCAGCCCCTGCAGCCCCACAGGACACGGCCCAGGATGAGTTCCTGCTTGTGAGCTCCACTGAGTAATTGGGTTTTTTAACCCACGTAGCCTGTCCCTGCCAGCCTGTTAATCTTGCTCAGCCCCAAGTCAGACATCTTGTAGGTTCTGCAGCGTGGTTACCTGGGGAGCTTATTAAATAAGATATCAAATGAGTTGGACAAGACCTGTGTTTACCTGCATGCTGCTGATTGGCATTAATTAGATTATCCCCCTTTAAATCTGGTTTCTCCATGAGGTTTCAGCTGTGCCATTACAGTGAGTTGGACTTGGAGCAGATCAATAGTCCCAAGTGCCCGTGGCCATTGCATTTACCCTGTCAGGGAGGAACCCAAAATATTCACAGCTTGCAAAGGCAGCAGGCACCTCGGGTAGCTCTCTGAATTAGGGGTATCTGACTTTAATTTTCCTGTGGGATAGAGTGAGCTCCTGGAGCTGAGGTGTGTGGGGGGGAGAGGGGGAGGCAGAGGTGGCTGGGCACATGTAGGTGACACGATTGTCCTACATGTTCCTCCCTAAACTCCTCTGCCTGGAGCCCCCAGCATGGTATGAGCTGTGGTTTGAGCTCTGCAGGAGGTGGGTGAACATTTTGTTGGGAGGACACCACAGCTGGAAGAGCATCCCAGGGGTCCTGGTGCCATCACCCCCACCCTCAGCCACCTGTGCACCCTCCTGCTGTCCCCAACCCACTGCACACCCAGCTTGGGGACGTGTCACACCTTCCTGAGCAGGAAAGAGGACACAACCAGCCTGGGTTATTTTCTGTTTTGGTTTGGGTTTGTTTTCCTCTAAGTAGAATTTGGCTGATGAAAAATGCCTGTCTGGGAAAAGCACGTGCTCCCTCGGGATGATTCCCCAGGGCAGCAAGTCTCCTTCATCCCAGTTGGAGGCACCACTCAGACCCCCCCTCCTGCCCAGTCCAGCCCACCCTGTTTATTGACCCAGCACTGAGCTCCCTTCCTCTCCCAGAGGAAACTGTTCCAGGAGGTGATGGCCCTGACCTTGCTCTTCTGGTAGAGGTCCCTTGGGGACCCTGCTGTCTGGGAACAGGCGCCTCCAGCGCCGCCAGCCCAGAGAGATCCCAGAGGGAACCTGGGAGGGGGGGTGAGGCACAGGGTAGCACAGTGGCAGTCTGTAGAAGTGCCCTTCTTGGCCTTCATCACCTCTGCGTGGGCTGTGAGTGGGTCTGTCCCCCACCCCAGGCCCTTGGCCGGGTGCTCTCTGCATCCCTGACGGGAGGCAGCTGCTGTTCCCAGCGCCGGTAGCCCGGCTGCCCCGGCTCCCCCGCAGCACAGTCGCAGTGCACATGCGACAGTATTCATATGGGCCTAATTAAAGGCTTGTTTTCCTAGTCCCGGAATAACCCCTCTAACATTCCCAACTCATTATCTTTTCAAATAAAGCCAAAACCTTGCAGCTAATTGTTTTGTGCTGTCAGGAGCGGTGCTGTTATGGAGCAATCCAGCCTTTGAGCTGGTCCTTCATCTCTGGCAATTAAGCGGGTCTGATGTTCACTTTGGTGTTTTCTTTCCCCCTTTTTTGCTAATTCTTTCAAGCACTTTCAGAGCTGTGTCAGCTGCCCGGGGGATTGGCGGCCTCTCTTTGTCTTCCTGCCGGCAGAGACGGCAGCGATGCTGGGTCCCAGCACACAGCTCCCTGGGAAGAGACTGGGCTTGGCCCTTTCCATCTGCCCATCCCTGTGGTCCTGCTGCCCCAGGGATGCTCCTCAGTGCCCTGGGCCTGAGTGTGTTCTCTCCTGGCTGCCGGTTTGAGCTTGGTTTTGCAGCAGCTCCTTCTCCATCCAGCCCTTCCAAGTGCATCCATGCAATGGGTGGGTGGCTGCGGTGGGGTGAGAGCCCACGTGAGGCTGGATGGGGTTTGGGCTGCAGCAAGGAGGAGCTGGGTAAGGGCAGCTGGGTGGTGATTTCTGCTTTGCACAAAGAAGCCCCTTCTTTTAGCTGTGCTGGGAGAGGTGGGATGTCAGCAGCCAGGCAGGATGGGCTGCTGGGATGGTTTCAGCCCCAGCACGGGCCGCGGTGGCCATCAGGCAAGGGTGACAGCGTGGTGTGGATCCGTCCCCAGGCAAAGCCTACGAGATCACCTACGTGAGGCTGAAGTTCCACACCAGCCGCCCCGAGAGCTTCGCCATCTACAAGCGCAGCCGCCCCGAGGGGCCCTGGGTGCCCTTCCAGTTCTACAGCGCGTCCTGCCAGAAGACCTACGGGCGGCGGCAGCGGCAGTTCCTGCGGCCTGGGGAGGACGAGCAAGTGGCCTTCTGCACTGATGAGTTCAGCGACATCTCCCCGCTCAGCGGGGGCAACGTGGCCTTCTCCACCCTGGAGGGACGGCCCAGCGCCTACAATTTTGATGGGAGCCCCGCGCTGCAGGTGCTGTCACAGGGCAGGAGTTGGGGGGAGGATGGTCCCCCCCAGGGTTGGGTGCACAAAGGCAGCACCCAGGGGAATAGTGCCCGTGGTGCCCTGCACACCCATAGGGTACAGGGTGGTGAGCTGGTGGCCCAGACCCTTCACCAAGGCTCCTTCCCCTGTGTCCCCTGCAGGAGTGGGTGACTGTCACTGACCTGCTCATCTCCTTGAACCGGCTCAACACGTTTGGGGATGACATCTTCAAGGACCCCAAGGTGCTGCAGTCCTACTACTATGCCATCTCTGACTTCTCTGTTGGTGGCAGGTGAGGTGCAGCCACAATGGGGGGAGGGCACCAGGAGGGAGACATTTCCAGGGCTGGGGCAGGTACTCCCTCTATGGTCTTGTCTGAGTTGTGGTTTGGAGGCAGACTGCTCAGATGTGGCTTCCTCCACCTGCAAACTGGGGCTGGCAGTGCAGAGATGGGTGATGAACCCTTAGAGCTGTGCATGAGGGAGGTCTTTTCCCCACAAGCCCCCTCTGTTTCCCACCAGCTGTATTTGTTTTGCCACCCATGGCTTTTAGTGGTAGTGGGACTCAAGTTGCTCCTCCTGTGACCCTGCTTGGGGACAGTAAAAGAGAGGTCACAGGGTGCCAGCAGAGAGATGTGTGAAAGCTGGTGAAGGTGTTTGGAGTCTGCATGGCCACAGCCTGAGCAGCTGCTTGGTGGGATGGAGGACTGATGTGGGACAGAGACATTGGTGGCACCCAGAGGGTTGTGCCACAGGTACCCGTGGGAAATCCTCCATCCTGGTGAGAGCTGCCTCTGCTGAGCAGCAGGGTCAGGACTGCTCCCAGCCTCCCAGCAGCCCCCATCGCTCTCATCCCACCCCTCAGGCCCTGCAGCTGCAGTTGGTTACCACCTCACAGGGGCCACCCTCAGCGTGTCACCTCCCAGCTGGCCGGGCCGGGAGCGCCTCGGGGACGCGGTGGGTGGCCTTGAGGCCGGCACAGCACAGCCCGAGATGCTTTCTGCCCCACAGCCACCCCAGGAAAGCTGGCTTGACAGCGGGGCCACGTGCTGCACAGCTCGGGATCACCTTGCTGCCAGCTGCTGCCCACACGGCTGCTCAGGGGGCTCATCCCCGCTCCTGGGGTCTCACTGCAGGTGCAAATGCAACGGCCACGCCAGCGCGTGCGTCCCGGACGAGGCCGGGCAGCTGGTCTGGCGG